GTTTACTTACCTTAACTTGGGGATATTTATCTAGACTTTCTATACTTTTATTGAATGTAATGACAACTATTTAATGTAATTTATAACCTTAGACAGGAAACAAAACACCGTAAAAGGTCCAACTCCAAAACGTAAAATATGTGAAAGAATGGCGTAATGTTTTTTTCTCTCGAATTAATAATAAAAACAGAAAGTAAGACGGCGCGCCGTCTTACTTTCTGTTTTTATTATTTCTTTTTCCAGCCCATTTGCTGGCGCCGCGGCGCCAGCAAATGGGCTGGAAAAAGAAATTTCAGCTAGAGACAGTTGCGTAGCCGGAAATTGGGTGGGAGCAAGATCCTACTAATATACGGTTATTTTATCAAGTTTTTGCCAGATTCTAGATACACGTCATCCGAATGCCAAGGGATTTCTTCACAGCTCTTAAAAATGAAAGAAAACTTTCAAATTTGCAGTGGCTGATCATGACAAGAGACTAAAGCCTTCGAAAGTCATCAGCTTCAAAAAACAAAACACATTTTACGAATCACAGGCGTAGATGCCGTCTTCATCTAGACATTTAGTGATTTATTTTTAAGGAAATGATTTGACTGATTAGTACTTTTTATTAACTAATAAATTGATTTCATAGATTTACATATTATTTAGAACAATGTGGGACGCTTGTATCACTCCGAGTGCTTGATCCGTCAATACATATTTGACTAACTTTGTTATTTTGTAAGAGTTTTCGTGTTTGACAGTAATTATATCTATTGTCATTACTATTATTAAGCATATATTGATAATTAAATAGATAAAAACTATACGGAAACAAAGAAACTTTCTTCATCGTTTTCATATACTGGTATAGTTCCCAGGTGTATACAGTATGTGTCAAGATACAATGTGCCTTAGTAATTAATTACGTATTTATAAAAGGTTACGAATCGAGGAATCTTTAGAAGAAGGGGAAAAAAAAGTCAATTTTTTGTAACAAAAAGGAAAATCAAAAGGGGGAAGAATAATAGAAACTTGATAAAAGTACAGTACGTTGTTAATGTTAAGTGATGTAGACAACAGATGGCAGCAGAAAAAATCATCCAATTAAAAAATGAAATGACAATAATTATACTTCTTATAGCCTTGAATTAACCTTGAATTAATTTTTATACTTATTTTTAAAACCTGGAGAGAAAAACGACGAGATAAAACAATCGTTAATTTACGAGGAATTCGTTTATCTTTTTAACCAAATATTCATTTAGATTAATTTTTAAACCAACGTTTTTTGCATCGTTGACAAAAGAATCGTACTTGCTGAGAAATATCTAAGGCAGGACAGCTAAGTAAACATATTAAAACTCGTATAATTGTTAACAACTATTTATAAATTTTTGATACCTAGATTCAAGGACGTCGAAACCTTGTACGGGGCCCGGGATAGATCGGACACTTTTGACTCTGCAATTTTTTTTTCCTTTACTCTTTTTTTTTTTTTTTTTCTTTGATCAAACGAACTAGTAGAAAGGTTTGTTTATTAATAAAAAATAATCTTAAATATTTTCGTTTCTGTTAGTAATAATAACATTAATTTATAGAGGTCCGTAAGGAGTCTAGGAGAAAATTCCACGGTTCCACCTCTCTCGACGGTCTACGTAGACGTCCTAATCTTAATTATTACGCAAATAATTACGTAATAAATAAAATTAGACGTATGTTTTTATAATAGTATTTCTCATTTTATTTGTATTATTTATAATTGTTAGATACACGTAAATCGCGAATGCTGTACGGTACATATAAAAACGAGTCCTTTGAAAAATACCAAAAACAATATAACGAAATTTTTTTAAATGTTTAGAGCTGTGTTCGGCCAGCGAGCTTTCGTGTCATATAAGAATTTGACAACGACTCTGATTTTAATGCAATTGTTTCTACTATGACGCGATTTACGAGTTCCAGAAAATTACCGTGTTGTGGAACTTCGCGTAATTAAATGTAACAAGTATTATGAAAAAAATGCAGTTAAAAGCAGAAAACTACATTTTATTACAGGTAACCCCCGTATAACACGGCACTTCTATAGCACGGATTCACTCTAACACGGTTCGAGAATTGGTACCATCCCCCGTATAACACGGTACTTTTATAGCACGGATTTACTCTGACACGGTTCGAGAATTGGATAAAACCCTCGTACAACAGGAAATGTAATAGATTTTTACATACTTAAGTAATAATAGTTCACGAAAATTATTATTTTCGTGAACTATTAGTACTTAAGTATGTAAATTTTCTCTTCTCGCCTTCTGTCGATACACGTGGTCCTTCTCGAAACTTGTTTCAATGTTGCCAGATCGCGACGCTTCTGCTTCTGATGTTGCCGAATGTTTTTCCCTTATTCCATACTTGCTTTATTCTTCATAAGTGCTTAGCACCATATAAGGAAATTTATAAAGACCTTTTAACTAGAAGCAAGCAATCTAAAATTACATACATTTTGCAAAAGGTAAAGCATGGATCTGAAGATAATGCAGAAAAATGCTCAGAGGATAAGGATAACTTGCCAAAAAGAAAACGCTCTCGGTTAATTAATAGTGTTTTTAGTGATGACGAAGAAAACATTGTTTAATTTATATTAATATGTATCACTTAAAAAAATTTTAATGAAGATATTTATCTTAATTATGAAAATATACTAGCATGTTTTTTAATTTTTGGAACCTAACCCTCCTTTTCGTATTAGTTCTTTGTTTCGTATAACACGGATTCGCATAACACGGCAATTTTTTGGAACGTAACTACCGTGTTATACGGGGGTTACCTGTATTTTAAGTTTTCTTTTTATTAATAGCTACTTAAAAGCTCTTTCTTTCTTGTTTACTAGGCTGTTTGGATTCTTACGATCGAGTTGCTGGTGTTTGGGATGCTCGATTGAAATATACAGAAAAGTACCTAAAATCGAAAGTTCCTTTTTTTCATTTTTTTCTGTTATATTTTACTTTTGGGAAATTATTCTTTCAGTTTCCCTGAGTACGAGTATTAGAAAAACTATGGATTCCAGACGAAACAATAAGGGTTCTTATTTTGCCTATACCCTTATATCGAAATCTAAAAATTGTTGGTATCCGGTAAAAAATAAACTTTTTCCAGTATATTATTCCTACATTTTTATAAGAATGCTAATATTTATATAAAGCGTAATAATGTAACTTTATTATAAAAGAAAACCCCTGTTAGTAGGAATTGCACAAAATCGTAAAAATTTTACTTCGATTACTGTATTTTTAACACTAGAAATTACATTCTCGTTCTTCGTATCTACGAATAATCTCCAAATGTTAATTTTCACAAATTTAATCTGACATTAATATTTGTTATAGATTAAGTTTAGAGTTAGACACGTGTCGTGTTTTACTATTAAAAGCAAATGTAAAAATTAACGAAAGAACAATTATTCGTGGCTTGACGATCCGATTTGTTTCGTCTTATATGTTGCAATAAAACGTCCCGATCAGTATAATTATGTAATGAGTAAAACTTTCTGATAAACGAATATAAAGATACGTGTAATGTTAATTAAGGATGCTCTCTAATAATGAGAAGTGTTAAAAGTATAACCGGTTCCTTAGGTCATCCAATAATTGCATTTGCTTTTTATTAATGTTGGGAATAATTAAATAATTTTAAAAGCAAAATTAAATTGCAGGGTTGAATCATTGCACGTAACAAGACGATAAAAGGCAACAGTATTGTCGAACATCATCTCTTCGTTTTAAGATACGTCTTCGAATTTATTAGGTTGTACTGTACGTAAAATTACTTTTAAAATATAGGCCTATATAAAATTGTTTACGGGACTGTTCGAAAAGTGCTGACAATATTAACACGAATTTTATTTATTATTTAGCGATAAATAATACAACACTAGCGACATTTCCGATGGTTTGAGATGATCAATTACACGCATAGAAAGTCGGTAAATGACGTCACTTATCTACTTCCCAACTTTATATGTCCTTAACGCGTTTTTTTATAAAGACAGATTACAATACGATATAGTTTAAATAGATAAAAAATGAAATTAGAAATATAAAATATTTTTAGGCATTGTAAAAAATAACTTAACCTGACAATGCTTTTGGAAATTTTACTAAATTCTCAATAAAATTATTATTATTGTTAAGAATTACTTAATTTTTACTTAAACGCTATTAAAATTCATTAATTTAAAAATCTGTTTTGTTATATACAAGTTAACAATGACAAAAAAGGCAATTTGCCTGTTTAATGCACCTGTTAATTATTTGCAATATAAAAAATATAGTATGTTAGCGAACTATGCTTAATATTTTAATGACGGCGAGAAATATTTTAAGAATAAAATTAAATAAAACTTTGACTACGCGTGACGTTGCGCGTAAACTAACGATGCCAATACACATACTCGTATCAATTAACCACCCTATTTTCTAAAATCGAGTTACTTAAACGCATTTGTTTCTACTTGTACTAGCTGAATTAACGTTTACGTGAGTGAATACTCACGTAAACGTTGTATAATAAACGAACATGTAAAATAACTAAGGAAGATTCCAACTATCCTAAAATGACTAAGAGCCTTCCACGTGGTACTGTACAACTCCTACTTATAGCTTTAACATCGCTCGTGCTTTTTAAATGACTTTATCACCCGCTGCCGGGTTGTGTAATTTCCTTATTATCGCAAGTTTAAGGTACACCAATTATAAATCGAATTCGTTGACAATTTTCCGAGTTTTCCAGAGTTATCCTTGTATTATTCTCGTAATTTTTATACTATTGGACAAATTGAATACCGGATTACTTATCTAAAAAGAAAATTCCGTTTTATTTACAAATTAAAATATTGCAATTATTCAGGTTAATATTTGCCGTTATAACCTTTGGTTATATGCAATTCTTAAAATATTTTCCGTATAAATATACGTATTTATTTAGTAATAAAACGAAGTCGTAAAGCATTCGTATTAGCCAACTTAAAATTCAAAATACAATTTTATTGCTTTCACGTTAACGTACAGTACAAAATATACATCTTTATGTAGAAAATGAGAATTTCTAAATACTCTTCATTACTCTAATCAGCTCGTCGTAAACATATTTCTTTGCGTCAGTTGCCATTATGAAGTCTAGATGACCCCATTCTTCTGAATCCACTCGGTAGTCTGCTGCTAAATTTTGGATCTTCTCTCGAAGTATACTCACGTCTTTAGGATCGGCCAAGTTGTCATTTTTACTCCAGAAAAGCGCAATGGGAGTGCGAATATTTTCTATTTTATACTCAGGAGGTGTAGGCTAATACATAATTATTAAATTAATACACGAAGATGAATATAAGAAAGATTACGGACATAAGGATAGCTATGGATGAGGAATTTGTCACTTACCTGATTGTAGGCTATTACGTTTTTTTCCGGCCCGTAATCGAATTTTTGAAGCTTTTTCGAATTCATCATCTGCGATAGAATCAAAATGATTGCAATTACCGAAATTTTAACTCTATTCGAACATTCGACAGCTTGGCCTACCTGTCCGAAATGAACGATATTCTTGGTAGAAGAACCGGCGGGGTAATGAGACATGTAGACGTCTATGCGACTCTAAAATGCATTTGTATAAGTCGATATAACAGTAATATTTTTCCAGTATCTTTTTCTTACCCTGTTTAGTTGAGACGGATTATATCCATTCATTAGAAAATACACATTGGAACATAAAATATTGAATTTTTCAAAGCCACAGCCGACTTGAGCAAATAATTTCATAACAAAACTGTTCGACAAAAATTCTCTGTATCCTAATTTCTTAGATAAAAGCTAAAAAGAAAACGAAATTTACATTTGTTAATCGAAAGGAGGCGAAATATTTACCATTTCTTACGTCTATGGGGCTGGTTAAGGGGGCAAGTAAACGAAGAGGACTGGTGATGTGACCGACCGTGGCTACCGGTCCCAGAGATAGTACCGCTTTGATCTGAAATATTAAATCTGTTTAATACGGATAGAAGGATCCAGGCATGTAAAATCATTACCTACTTTGTCATAGTCAGGTCTGTCGGAGAGAAGAGCGTAAACTACAGTGTTGCCTTGAGACTGTCCAATATAATATACCTGACTCTGATTAGTTTTATTTAGAATAAACTCTATGGTATCGGGTACATCGTATTTGGCAAATTCGTCAATGCTAAAAAGGAAAAAAAATCTCTTTGTACGTAAACACTTTACACTCTCCGACGTTCGACTTACGTGAAATTCCAAAATCTTTCTTCTTTAGTCGAATATTCAACGTGCTTTTTAGAGTAAGTGTTACCTCTCTGGTTTCCCAACCACACGTCGTAACCGCTGTCGGCCAGGATATAACCTAATTATATTTAAATATTTAGCAACGAATCCAAAACAGCATTACAAAAACCAGTTTCGTAACCGTAAAAAAAAAAAATACATCATCAGCCAGAATTATTCGGAAAGATACCGGTTCGAGGGAATTCGAAACGCAACAGTAAGACTGTTATCGGTGCAAATTACGCATATGGACGATACAAATACGGATTTCAATTGTGTGTGGGTAAATATTTAATTTTATGGTCGAATGGGAAAACTTACCGAACTATTCCAAAAACGAAAACTTACCCAAACTCTGATTAGGGAAATTTAAGACCCAGTCGGTGGCGGATTCCAGAAGACCGTGTTGTAAATAGGCTACGGGACGATTGGCGGTGTTTTGTTTGCCTGATAAACCATAGGGTATTCTTTGCACGGACAAAACATAACCGTCCTTCGTTCGAACGGAATACTCTTCCACAGGATAGCCCTTACTCCTGATGATTTCGGTCTAAAAAAACAGCTTGTTAAATACAAGTGAAAACATAAATTTAACAATACCAATAACACTTGTAAATTTACTATATTTCTGTTGGCGTCGGGCTCGTCCTCGTTCAGTATTGTTAGGATATTTAGTAAATCCAAACAGTTTGCTAAACCTAAGCATAGAAACAAGAGGCAAACGTAGGAACGATGCATATTTGTACGATTGTGTGACTAGTGCGGGAGAATTATCGGCGTTGTTGTTTATATCTGCGCCGATTTATTACGCGTGCCGTACCTCTACCTCGTGTGATGTGTCGCCATCTCTATCGCGTTTCGAATAGTCGACGTCCAAATGTCGTTCATCGGGTACGACAGTCTGCTGCACACCTACGACAAATAGAATAAAATATACATGGAAACTGCATGGATTCGCTGACGATACCTTGATCACGATAACTCACAGAAACAATGAGATTTTACAGGCAGAAGCGAATCGCCTCCTAGAAAAATTTAATGACTGATGTAAATTAAATAAACTATGATATGTGTCAAAATATAATTCTATCAAAGGAACACCAATGAAAACGGGCCTAAGAGTAATGATGAACAACGACAGAAAATACAGAATGTGAACAATCTGAAATATTTGGGCTTAGATTTTGACCATTGATTAATATACGCAATGCACCTAAACCAAACAATGGATAAGGCAATGAAACGACTCTCAAATACACTTCTCAGCCTATCAAATAAAAGCTGTGGTCTAAATGATAAAACAATGAAAGTGATACACAAGGTCTGTGTGGAAACTATGATATTATATGGGGCACCCTTCTGGGCAACTTGGACCAACACCATCAGATTCCAAAAGAAATTAAATAGGATACAACGAACAACTTTTCTGCGGTTGTGTAAAGTATACAGAACAGCCCAACTGCGGCATTAGAAATAATAGCAGGGTTCCCCCTCTGCATCTAAGGTCAAGAGATGTGGAAGTGGCACATAAACAAGAATAGAGTGACATACCGGCCAGACTTTGATGACATGGTGCAATATATTGGGATTGGCCTATTACCCAATATGGATACCTCACTTCTAGAACAGCTGATTAAAGAACGGCCACAACCTAATCAGATCTATAAAATACACCCGGACAAAGTGTCAGACATTGCAATATCAAGTGACTGGGAGAGAAGACTCTACCCGAATTACACGATACATACAGACGGGTCAAAACAAAATGAGAACCTAGGGGCTGCAATTGTAGTTATGAAAAATAAATCGACAAAACCAATACAGTGGAACCCCGGTTAATGAACGTCCTGGTTAACGACCAAATCGATTAACGAACTTTCATTTTGCAAAAATTTTGTCTCGAATAACGAACTTAACGGCTTTTTGTGTCAAATTTGTAAGCTTACTTTCACGAAACTTTCTGAACCACTTACGGCACGTGGAATCATCAATGGCTCCGTCACCATACACAGAACATGTCTTTTTTGTGTCTGCGAAGCATTCTTGCCTTTTCGGAAATAAAAAAGCATAATATGTCGAAAATGCTCCTTATTTTCTACCATTTGTAATGCTTAACAAAATTTTAAAAACACAACTAAGTAACACAACCTTATTCTCAAATACTAGCTGAAATCCCTTTTGTCAAACAACATTCAAATTTTACACATGTGAAGGAAAAAACATTTCAGTGTTGCGTTTTTAGCCAGCTGGTGCTAAAAACGGACGAACTTTTGCATCAACCCAATAGTTTCCAGCCATTCTGGAACCTCACAAATTTCAGTTGCTCTTAGACGTGCGCGAGGGAAGCATTGCTTTTTCGAGTGTGCTGAACTTCGTTTTTAGTTTTGTTATTTATACTGTATATTTAATCAATATGGCACCGAAGAAAGAGAAAAGTGACAGTAGAAATAGAAAACGTTTCAGTGTAGCATTAAAGAAAGAAATTATTGCAAAATACGAGAATGGCATTCGAGTTTCTGACATTGCTAAAGAATATAATGTGGCAAAATCGACTATCTCTACAATTATTAAAAACAAAAAGGCTGCCGAAGTGGCTAAAGGAGTGAATGTGATATCGAAACAAAGATCTAAAGTTTTAGATGAAGTTGAAAAACTGTTGCTAATATGGATCAATGAAAAGCAACTTGATGGAGACAGTGTTAGTGAAGCTATAATTTGTGAAAAGGCTAAAAATTTATATAATGACTTGTTGACCCAGACACCCAGTACAAGTGCAGACACCCAGTACAAGTGCAGACAGGCAGGACTTTAAAGTGAGCCGAGGGTGGTTTGATAGGTTTCGTCGACGAACTGGCATTCACAGTGTCATAAGACACAAGGAGGCTTCAAGTTCAGATAAAAAGCAGCAAAAGCATTTGTAGACGAATTCGCAGAGTTTGTAAAAAGTGAAGGATACGTCTGGAATCGTGTTCAATTTGCGTTGGGTCTTTTTTGGAAAATAATTCCTAGACTATGGTCCCCAAAGTGGTCGATATCGACCCCTTGGGGTCGATAAGAGTTCTCCGGGGGTCGATTAATACACGAGGGTCGAAAGGGGGTCGATTATTACTAAAGAGGATCAATTAAACTGTCTAGGAAAATAATAGAATATTCCAATAAAAGTTCGAAATACGGATATGATCAACATTACTGACTACCCTAGTTATAACTTGAGTTTTTCCTTAGTCTACGCCGCTTTTAGCTTGTGTTACTGTTTTCACTCATCTGGCAACTGCACTAGTGTCGCAAACATCTTATGAACGCTAGTACTTCATTATACACAGACATATGTTGTACTGTTACACTCTAGTAGGGTTGTCACTCTAAGTATTTTATATCTAAATGCAGATATTTTGTCCTTTACAGAGAAAATATCGTAATATATCGAAAATCATTAATATATAGTACAGAAGCGTTTGCAAGGAAAAAAACGTTACAATTGTTCAAGCTCGAACAATCATAAATAATGGCCTTTCAAGTAAAAATGGAGCTATTTAAATCTTCACTGGCACGATCCGACTTTAAATATTTTTCAAACTTGCGAATACTAAAAGAAAATAAAAAGATATCCGACCGTGATTTGGAGATATATATTAAACATCTTGATAAATTAAGAGAAGACTTTAAACCACGTTTCAAAGACTTGGAGAATATGCATGTTCCCGAATGGTTTGCTAATCCATTTGATGAAAAATACATAATAAAGGTAGTGAACCTGGATTAGAAGATGAACTGATTGAAGTATGTGTAGATCTCGAAGCTAAAGTGTTCTTTTAAAAATAAAAACCTCAGTGAATTTTGGAGCAATAACAATATTGCCACTAAATATCCCAAGCTCAGAGCAGAAGCCGAACCTTTCTTACTTGCATTCCCAACTTCGTACATGGTTGAAGCTGGTTTTAGCCACGCGAACGCAATTTTGACAAAACAGAGGAACAGATTGAACTTGGAAAACCGTGGTGATTTGCGACTAAAACTTACCAATTTTCAACCGAATATTAATAATCTTGCTGCTTCTCTTCGGACACGCTCATTCCACTAATATCAACTATTTTAATAAAAAGGTATGTTAACATATTTTTAAGGCATTCAGTAGTAGTCGCAAAATGACAGTAAGAGGTTTTTTTCATCCAATACAACTTATGTTATGTTTTCAAAGATAATTGTGTATTTTACGTATTATGGCACGTACGGTTTAAGAACTATAGGCAAATTTCCATCTATCCATAATTTTGCTATTATTTGTTTTTTTTTTTCTTCACGACTAGGTGTATTAATAGACACAAGGCATTTTTACATCTTCTTTATTCTGAATCTTCTATAGGCCGAAACGCGTATCGGCCGATCTCCACGGGGTAAATGGCAACGATTGAACGTTACGATTTCTATCTTTGTAACTTTCTAACGTTCTCAATCGATCGTATCATTTTCGATTTTTAAATATTTTATTTAAATATTTAAAAAGTAAAAGAGGTGCGATCGATCGAATGTTTTCGTGTATTTATCGACAACGAAGTTCCAAAAGACAAAGTATCGAGAAATACGTAGATTTGCTATAAACTCCATCCAACAATTTCGCGGTATATTTCGTATCGGTATCTAAATAAACCACAAAGTCGCCGGTTTATAATTCTCGGAAAGGTTAAAACGTGCGAAACCGGAGGACGTTGAACCGGTCGGATCCAGAAAGAAAATAGGTTAATTAACGAATACCGTATGAGCGCGTGACGAAATTCGTTTCTTACCTTTCTAATTTTCTCTCTTAATTATCATATTTTGAATGAAATAATACCAAAATCTGGACTGGTAACCCGTATTGTTTCTTCCGGGCAAATACTTTTTCCTTCTCTTCTACTAAAACTGGACGGAAATAATTTAAATGGCAAATTCGAATTTACCCCATTCTATTCTTATTCTATTTAAATTGTTAACTCGTACAAATTAAAATTTCCAATAATACGATTGGAGAAAAGAAAGCGAACGTTGGTCGACTCGAGTGATTTCCGTTTATAAGCGAGATTAGGGAAAGAAAAACGCGGAAGACGATTTCGTCAGTAATAGAAGAATGGAAATTAAATTCCAAGTGGCCAGGAAGACATTTCAATCGTTGTCCTCTGGTAATGAAATCGAATTCTTCCGATTGGAATGTTTCTTAACTACGTGAGATGGCCCAAGTGTTGCATTGCCATAACTTTCAAAATACAACGTAACTATGTAAAGAATAATTCGTATTCACTGCATTATTAGTTGACTCGTTTCTTTTCCATTTAGAAAACCTAATTTCCTTATTTTCGTCTCTCGCGCTTCCCCCCGAAACGTTCTTCACTCTTTAAGCCGAATCGTTGATTTAATCGAAAGACAGACTTTTTCAGATGTGTGCTTTTTACGTAATTATTTAAAAAATTATTCGTATTAAGTGAAATAAATTTTAAAAAAATTACACTTCAATGGTTAATGTAAATGGAGCTGTCATACTGGCGCATTTCTATATATATGTTATGGACAAAGTGATTAATACGGGCATTATGAATAATGACCAACAAAGTCGGGCATTGTAATAAATTTCAATAATTTACCAAATTGATCGGTCATTATGAATACTGCTACCACCTAGTTGGGCAAAGTGATAATAATACGTTGAGGAGTGATCATCCGGCATACGTTAGCCAATCAGAACTTACATCTTACTTGCGAATGAGTATTGCATTTAGTACCGAATTTTAAATTTATGTGACCAGTAGTTAATCTTTCTTCTTTGACAAAAGTAACGATCATGGAGGAATCATTAAGTGGTATGAATAATCACTTCAACAACCGATTAAACGAGTTAATAGCAGAAAAAGGTGAGAACAATCAAATTTTTACAAAATCAGCATATTTGTCAATGATACAAAAAGTGAAAGAGTCAAAAATGAAAGTTATTTCTAAGTTACCGGAAGAATATCAGCGTTTACGTAGATATGACATTGTATCTATCGGAAATTTAGAAAAATTAATTATGCCTGTAAAAGAAGGTAATGCGATTAAATATTACGTTCACACGGATGAAATATTAATATTTCAGATATTTCACGATGTCCATATTGCTATTGGACATGGCGGTAGAAACCGTATGGAAAAAGAATTAAGTACGAAATATAAAAATATTACAAGGTAGATAGATGATCATAATTTATTTGAACTTGTGTGAAATCTGTCAGAAAAAAAAATAATGTTCCTAATAAAGACTTGGTAGTTAAACCAATTTTATGTAATAAAATGAACTTGAGATGTCAGTTCGATCTTATAGATATATAGTCGCAAGCCGGTGAGGAATATAAATTTATACTCGTGTATCAAGACCATCTAACTAAATTCGTTCAACTACGACCATTAAAAACCAAAAGGACTAAAGAAGTAGCATATGTTCTTTTAGACATTTTTACAATTTTCGGTGCACCGAGAATTCTACAAAGCGATAGCGGCAGAGAATTCGCCAATAATATCATCAAAGAAATGTGTAATATGTTGTTTGAGTTAAAAATGGTGCATGGAAAGCCCAGGCACTCACAAAGTCAGGGTTCAATAGAAAGATGTTATCAAGACGTAGAAAATATGCTTAGTTCTTTGTTGGAGACTAACAATACTAACAAATGGTTGGAAGGATTATGTTTTGTACAACTGATGAAAAATCCAGCGCATTATACTGGTATAAACTGCAGCCCCTATGAGGCCATGTTTGGAGCAAAGTTAAAAGTTGGACTAAAGAATTTTATACCTAACGAATTGTTGATTAACATTAATACGGAAGAGGATCTAGAGAGACTTTTTAAACTATCGACGAAGTAAGTCAAAGTTGCTCAAACTCTGAAAGTCCGGGTACCGTGCAAGAAAGCATTAGGAAAGATTATTTGATAATGCCATCCTTACATAGCAATATAACTGATGAAGTTCAAAGATCTACATCGTCTTCACGTGAAAAAATCTAAACCAGGATGTTATTAGTATTACAGAATTGGCGAATGAAGAAGAAGAAACAATCCAAACAATTGATCCAAAAATAGAAGAAAAAATAAGAAGTGTGTCTAAAACAAGGGAGATGGCTTTGTTTATTCTTAAAAAGCAAGCAGAAAAAATGATTAATATATCAAATTCCAAATACACAGCAGCTAATGTTGGTGATACAGTAGGGATTCGTGTACCTGATGTAGATCGAGCCCGCAGTGATGGAAAAAATATTCTGTGTTGTTGTTGCGGTTAAAGATAAAAACCTTTACAAACTGGGTACCAAACATAGCATATTAAATCTATTATATTCCAGAAACCAATTTATTGTTTGTAAAGAAAACTTCATTTCTGTTGGAAATGTACCGGGTGCAGAAATTCGCAGAAAAAAAGGCTATATTCGATGCTGCTGCAAAATTGGTTGCAAATCTAATAGATGCAAATGCTACAAAGAAAAAATTATGTAATTCCAAATGTCATGAAAATCTTAATTACTCAAATAAATAACTAAAAAACATTTAATTTTTTATATAATTTATACCAAAAATTGTTAATAATACTTTTCGTTAATATTAGTTTAATTAATATAGTTAATAATACTTTGATATATTTTACAAAAAATAAATATTTCTAAATGAAATAAGTGGAGGTTTTTTTAATCAAATTTAAAATTCTGTACTAAACACGATAAGCACACACAATTCAGAGTGCCGATTGGCTAGAGTTTATCGGATGATCACTCCTCAACTTATTATTATCACTTTGCCCGACTAGGTGATAGCAGTATTCATAATGACCGGTCAATTTGATAAATGAATCATATTTATCACACTGCTTGCCCTATTTGGTCATTATGAATAATGCCCTATTAATCACTTTGTCCATAACAATAATGACCGGTCAATTTGATAAATTATTGAAATTTATTACAATTCTCGATTTTGTTGGTCATTATTCATAATGCTCGTATTAATCACTTTGTCCATAACATATACACAGAAAGAAAGCAGACGACCGTGGGAGCTGGGGAAGTAAACTCGGAGACTGGGTTTGTTCGAGATTTACTTTTCCGCAAAATGAATGACATAAGAATTAATTGTTAATGCGCAATTTAACGCTTGATTATCGATTTAGTCTACGTATAGAACGGTTATTTTATCGATTATCTCGATGACAGATAATTTTACGGTACAAGGGACAAAAACCGGTGGACGTATCGTTTGCGTTAGAAACGAAAATGGAGTTGGAAGGAGGATTTACGAATTTCTGCGGATCCCGTTTTTGGGTAATGTATGGCTCGAAAATTTTTATCGTCAAATCAAAAGTAAACGATTTCTACTAATTTATTCGTTAGAAAAAAAACTAAGTTACGACTCCTCCATCATTTCCTTTATTATTTTGTCTTTCTGTTGGTTGTCACACAAGTAATCGACACCAGAAAACTGTTAAGTTTTATTAACACTTGTTATTAACACAAATTACAATTGTAAGCGCATTGTAATTTGGCCGATTTTTATCTCCACTATAATAAGATTAACAAATAATTATTCTCGTTCTCACTTGCTGGAAATTTATTTATTTATTTTAAGAAAACAAGAATTGGAAATCGTTCGGGATGTAGTCTGCTTCTTTTCTTCTCGCGAATTAAACCGGAGATGGAAAAAAGACGCGGTAAGCACTGGTGTATACAACACCACTGACGAGAGAAAATTAAAATTCATTTCTTACAACTTTTAAAACGCTTTTAAAAAGTATTTACTATGACCAATTTTCTTTATCGGACCGTCCACCCTGCGATGGTTGGCACGCGTTAGTAAAAGTTACTTATTCATTATTCAAACGTTTTAAATTTTTGGTCCGGTCCCCCTCCTTGCCTACTTCCGGATCGCCCATTGCTATCGGTCGGAAACGTAATCCGTTATAATAAATTCCTGGTTCCATTGGCTTCTGGGGCCATATTGAAGGTATTCGTAGTATTGGAAGTTACGTTGTATCGAAGTAACGATCGAGATCACGAATGGCCAGTACTTTCTGCTATCGAGTATTCGCCAATCTCTACGTAATTTAAATCGCTCGAACTCTTCTCGTTAATTCGTCCGAATTCCTTCGATATTCTTCCAAACTATTGCATTTATTTCAATGTTTCGAAACTGCAAAAACTATGATTGATCGAAGAATGCCATCGATGACTATTCCTCTTTTGATGAAAAGTGGGTTCTGGCGTATTTTTAGTGTTGTGAATAAAACAAATACTTGTAAATAAAACATCGAAACCAGTTATAAATTTAAACTAGATGCCGTACGTTATCAATTTGTTAATTTTATGTCCAATTCAAACATTAAAAGTTTCGAAATGAAAACGAAATCTCGAATGGAAAATTTTCACTTAGCCGAAATTCTTTCCTTATGTATATGTGCGATAAACAGCAAAATCTACATATATAAAATTACTTGTCCTGACTGACTGACTGAGTCACTAATTCCTCATCGCCCAGAGCAAACCGCTGAACCTAAACAGGTGAAATTTGATACACAGTTAGGGTACGTCATGGAAACGCACTCTAAGAAAGGATTTTCCGAAATTCCCCATCGAGAGGGAGAGCATTAAAACTAAATCGGAAGAACGGCTTCTACTGTACTATTTTAGATGCGATTTTTTGTTTTCAACTACGTTTAGTCTTCATTTAGTACTTAGGTGTATTAAACTGGTAACATTTCAGACATTGTTATAAATATTTTTATCTATTTCGATTTTAAAAATGTTCCAACCGTTTTAAATTCGAATTTGTTAATGCATATTGGTTCGATTATAGAACTATTGTAAACGTTCCAGAAATTGATCAAATCGAAAATAGTTCGTTTGATTCTCGGCAATTCTCATCATTCTCAGCGGTAGGTGTTATATAACAATTACTATAGTTGTTGAAATACTGAATATACATAGGGTTTGCTTGCAAAATCCTCGCGGACAAAGCTGCAAGTAACAGCTAGTCATTGATATAAATAGATTTTATTGTTTTTGTTGTAAAATTATTGATAACAAATACTGTATTTGATCTTAGATTTAATTTATATTATTATCATTATTATTATTATCGTCTATTGATTATTGATGAGATGCGATTGATTCGCGCTATATTTGATACGAGATAAATGCTTAGATTTGAGATTAAAATTATATCGGTACATTGTGTAAGNTAAGTGGAGGTTTTTTTAATCAAATTTAAAATTCTGTACTAAACACGATAAGCACACACAATTCAGAGTGCCGATTGGCTAGAGTTTATCGGATGATCACTCCTCAACTTATTATTATCACTTTGCCCGACTAGGTGATAGCAGTATTCATAATGACCGGTCAATTTGATAAATGAATCATATTTATCACACTGCTTGCCCTATTTGGTCATTATGAATAATGCCCTATTAATCACTTTGTCCATAACAATAATGACCGGTCAATTTGATAAATTATTGAAATTTATTACAATTCTCGATTTTGTTGGTCATTATTCATAATGCTCGTATTAATCACTTTGTCCATAACATATACACAGAAAGAAAGCAGACGACCGTGGGAGCTGGGGAAGTAAACTCGGAGACTGGGTTTGTTCGAGATTTACTTTTCCGCAAAATGAATGACATAAGAATTAATTGTTAATGCGCAATTTAACGCTTGATTATCGATTTAGTCTACGTATAGAACGGTTATTTTATCGATTATCTCGATGACAGATAATTTTACGGTACAAGGGACAAAAACCGGTGGACGTATCGTTTGCGTTAGAAACGAAAATGGAGTTGGAAGGAGGATTTACGAATTTCTGCGGATCCCGTTTTTGGGTAATGTATGGCTCGAAAATTTTTATCGTCAAATCAAAAGTAAACGATTTCTACTAATTTATTCGTTAGAAAAAAAACTAAGTTACGACTCCTCCATCATTTCCTTTATTATTTTGTCTTTCTGTTGGTTGTCACACAAGTAATCGACACCAGAAAACTGTTAAGTTTTATTAACACTTGTTATTAACACAAATTACAATTGTAAGCGCATTGTAATTTGGCCGATTTTTATCTCCACTATAATAAGATTAACAAATAATTATTCTCGTTCTCACTTGCTGGAAATTTATTTATTTATTTTAAGAAAACAAGAATTGGAAATCGTTCGGGATGTAGTCTGCTTCTTTTCTTCTCGCGAATTAAACCGGAGATGGAAAAAAGACGCGGTAAACACTGGTGTATACAACACCACTGACGAGAGAAAATTAAAATTCATTTCTTACAACTTTTAAAACGCTTTTAAAAAGTATTTACTATGACCAATTTTCTTTATCGGACCGTCCATCCAGCGACGGTTGGCACGCGTTAGTAAAAGTTACTTATTCATTATTCAAACGTTTTAAATTTTTGGTCCGGTCCCCCTCCTTCCGGATCGGCCTTTGCTATCAGTCGGAAACGTAATCCGTTATAATACATTCCTGGTTCCATTGGCTTCTGGGGCCATATTGAAGGTATTCGTAGTATTGGAAATTACGTTGTATCGAAGTAACGATCGCGATCACGAATGGCCTGTACTTTCTGCTATCGAGTATTCGCCAATTTCTACTATAAATCGCTCGAACTCTTGTTAATTCGTCCGAATTCCTTCGATATTCTTCCAAACTATTGCATTTATTTCAATGTTTCGAAACTGCAAAAACCACGATTGATCGAAGAATGCCATCGATGACTATTCCTCTTTTGATGAAAAGTGGGTTCTGGCGTATTTTTAGTGTTGTGAATAAAACAAATACTTGTAAATAAAACATCGAAACCAGTTATAAATTTAAACTAGATGCCGTACGTTATCAATTTGTTAATTTTATGTCCAATTCAAACATTAAAAGTTTCGAAATGAAAACGAAATCTCGAATGGAAAATTTTCACTTAATCGAAATTCTTTCTTTATGTAAATATGCGATAAACAGCAAAATCATTTATATAAATAGGTCTTATTGTTTTTGCTGTAAAATTATTGATAACAAATACTGTATTTGATCTTAGATTTAATTTATATTATTATTATTATCGTCTTTGATTATTGATGAGATGCGATTGATTCGCGCAGTATTTGATACGAGATAAATGCTTAGATTTGAGATTAAAATTATATCGGTACATTGTGTAAGGAATTCGTCACGTTTGAATATGTAGGCTACTATTGCTGAAACTGAATATTTCGTATCGTAAGAACTAATTCCGGTTTTAAATCGTAACAAGGATTTCTGTTGAAATTTGATTATTGCTTAAGTAATATTCTATACGAACATTTAAAATATTAAATAAATATATCAAAATAAAAGTAAAGGACTATAAAAACCTTTGTATTATTAAATGCGATTTATAAGAATCGACTTAAGTAGCATTTGGGTTCAAAGAAAACTTGAATGCTGCCTACAGAGGTGCTCCGTATTTATTGCTACGCTCTGCAGATTTAACAACGAACAATGTGCAAAACACTTGATTTGCTGCAAACAAATTAAAATAGCGAATGGTTAATAATAAATTTATAACTACTGAATGTGAAAATTATTGATGATACGTTTAATTTCAGACTGAAGAAGTTTGGAACGGAGAGACGTTAGTGTTGCCAATATGCTTTCGAAACATTGCTTTTGTTTGGATTCCGTGTGGATTTCTATGGCTATTTATGCCTTTGGAAATATATTTTATTTACAGAAGCTCGGAAAAGGCAATTCCGTGGACGATACTTAATATTTCTAGAATGGTGAGTTATTATGTGAAATTATATATCATTACATATTCAGTGGCGTGTTATCCTATCGGGAAAAAGGGCAATTGCCTAGGCCAGGGATGGCAAACCTTTTCGTGTTCACGTGTCATATTGTAAGCATACTTATCTTTAAAGATGTTTATGCGTGCCAAAGTTTCAGACTTCGAATAACGCTATTTAAAGAAATTAAACGAATACGCTTTAATTAGAATAAATGTAAAAAGGCTGATTGAAAAAAGGATGATCAGGTGATAAACCAAAAAGATGATTGAAAAAGACAGAAATCGCATGATAAATTACGTCCCAGATGATTTCTCCCTACGTGCCACTTTGGGCACGCGTGCCATAGGTTCGCCACCCCTGGCCTAGGCCCTCAACCAATCTTTTATAAGAAAAAATTCCCTCAAAAGAAAGTGTCTGAAGTCAATATTTCACTGCACTGCATTGCACATGGGGCCTCTAGTTCAAATTCGCTTGGCCCCCATGAAGTTATGTCCTGTTAACGAAATAACCAAGTAATTAATAAAAAATAACACAATTAATAATAATTAGGAAAATTAAAATGTGATACTAATGAATATATTTTATTCAAACAAGAAAAACTTTATACTTATTTAAAAACCGTAATTGATTCCACAACCAATGAACCTTTTTCTTAGACAAAGACTGAAATAATGTGAACTAATGCCATTAAAGTAAAATTGATTATCTTAGAAAACATTTTGAACAAAAATACAGTACTGTATAAGCCTAAAGTCTTGAGATAATAGATGTATTTATGTTTAAAGAAAAAATAAATTAGTATTTATACTCTTACAAAACATGTTCAGAATTTTAAGAACTGACATAAAATATATTTTTGAAGATATATCAATAGCTATTGTAACTTATCTGAATGTAAAATTTTATTTGTATTTCTTATTAATAATTATGAATTTCAATAAAGTAATTTAATCTACTTTTATTTTTATTCCAGGTACTAGCTCTTTTATTAATTGCAGTGTCAATAATTGATCTAATAAATGATTTACATACTTCACCCAATTTACCTCCTGTCTATATTGTTTCTAATATTATTTCAATATGTACTTTGGTAAGGAATTTAAGTTTATTTAAAATTTAATTAATAATATATAATATTCATCAAGGATTTTATTCTTTTTTTAGGCTTTATTCATAATTTTAGCTATTTGTGGACAAAGAAAAGGAATTTATTCATCTGGAATTATTTTTATATTTTTGTTGTTAATGACAATCGGAAATTTTGGCTTCTATTATTCACATTTAAGCAATCTATTTTTGGAGGTAAATGCATTTAAATTGAATAATAATAGTTTATTTTCATTATGTAACTGTGTGTTTCTTTTTATTTAAAGGTAGATATTCATGTTAATACAGTTAATTATATTATAGCAATGATACGTTTTCCTCTAATATTAGCAGAATTTCTATTCTATTGTTTTGCTGATAAGATACAAATTGAGGAAAAACTTGATATGCAGGTTAGTGATGTTTGAAATTGATAATATAAAAAAAAAATTACTAAAAATGATAAGATTAAATTTTCAGAAAGAATGTCCTATCAAATATGCATCATTTCTATCAAAACTATTATTTTGGTGGTTTACAAAGTAAGTTAATTTTTTTATATATTGTTGGATATTATTTTAATTTTGTATTTAAAAATAAAAAGCTGCTCATATATGTTTAATACAAATATATTGCAAAATAATTTAAGAAATTTCAATTCTTCAGAGGTAAGTTTGTGCTGATTTCAAAAATTTTAAAATGAAACCTTAAATACTAATGCAATCATAAATTTGCATTCACATAAAAATTCAAAAAACACATTTAATTTGATAATAAAATTATTTTTAAAATCATATGTAAAGTTTATCATAAAGAACAATTGATTTAAAATATATGAAGAATGTTTAAATACTGTTTTTATTTTATAGAAGCAATTGTAAATTGCAAATTTTGAACAAAATGACAAATTATTACTAGAATAAGAAAACAATAATCAAACACAACACTTCATATTTATCTGCTTTAAATAATGTAGAAAGTTACTACTAAATCATTTCAGAAAGTAAAAACAAATATAGAGGTATATTTGCAATATTATACTATGAATTAAATATTCTTTGGTCTGATAAGAATAATCTTGCTGTAGTTAAATGAAATAATGGATTTCTGTCTGAAATAAAGATTGAGTAAGTTTGGTTAATGAATAATACAAGAAAAATGAAAACTCATCCTTGGGCAGTAAAAATTATTTTTATAAATATTAATGTCTTCAGAGTAATACTGAAATATAAAGTATACAAATATCATTGGAATTTAATTCTGGCCATTAGTCAAAATACTGAAATAAAATCTAATAATGATGAATATTTATTAATAACCATTTCTAGTCTTTCCACTTAACTAAAAAAATGTACTGATTATAATATGTTAAAATACATTTTTCAGCTTTTTATTAAAATTTTCATATAATATAATAAAAGTGCAGGTAACCCCTGTATAACACAGCACTTCTATAGCATGGATTCACTCTGACATGGTTTGAGAATTGGGTAAAACCCTCGTACAACATGAAATGTAATAAATTTTTACATACTTAAGTACAAATAGTTCACGAAAATAATAATTTTCGTGAACTATTAGTACATAAGTATGTAAATTTTCTTTACTCGCCTTCTGTCGATACACATGATCCTTCTCGAAACTTGTTTCAATGTTGCCAGATCTCGACGCTTCTGCTTCTGATGCTGCCAGATGTTTTTCCCTTATTCCATACTTGCTTTCTTCTTTATAAGTGCTTAGCACCATATAAGGAAATTTATAAAGATCTTTTATCTAGAAGCAAGCAATCTAAAATTACAAACTTTTTGCAAAAGGTAGAGCATGGATCTGAAGATAATGCAGAAAAATGATCAGAGGATAAGGATAACTTGCCAAAAAGAAAACGCTCTCAGTTAATAGTGCTTTTAGTGATGACAAAAAAGACATTGTTTAATTTATATTAATATGTATCACTTAAGAAAATTTTAATAAAGATATTTATCTTAATTATGAAAATATAATAGCATGTTTTTTAATTTTTGGAATCTAACCTTCCTTTTCGTACTAGATCTTTGTTTCGTATAACACAGATTTCCATAACACAGCAATTTTTTGGAACAAACTCCTGTGTTATACAGGGGTTACCTGTAATTAATAATTTAATATTTTTAATAGTAAATTTTCATCTTCATAACTAATTACTATTAAAGGTATGTTAGGGGGCAAAGCCAAGAGCATTTTGACCTAAAATATCCTTTGTGCATGCATTACAGGTAGTTCAAATTATTAAAGATTTGTTGTAACTAATAATATAAATTCTATCCAATGCGTTGAAATCTCTGGTGGAAAATAAACTCTTCACAACAGTACAAGAACTGGACATAAGTCATATGACCATTTAACATCATTTCGAAGAGCTGGGAAAAGGGCTTTAGTTGGAAAAATCTGTGCCACATGACCTGCTGCTAGCTCAACTTGAACATTCTGTCAATCAGCACATTTCACTGCACTCTCATCTCCCAGCTCCATTTTTGGATGAAATTGTTATCAAATACAATATAAGAATATTAAGCATTGTTCAGTGACTAAGTCCTGGAGATAAAGTGGCACTTCAGCTGACAACCAACCTTCATCCAACAATGATGTTGCTTGGTGTGTGATGGGATATGCAAGGTGTGATACATTTTGAGCTGCTGAGAAGGAATGAAACCATCATAGCTGAAATTTACTGTCAGCAATTGGACCATTTGATGGAAGCTCTGTGAGAAAAATGCCCAGACTATGTTCTCTATCATCATGCTAATGCCTGTCCACAAAAGAGCTCTTATCACCTCTAAAAAAACTGGAGGAACTGGAGAAATGGTACATCCCCTTATTCCTTAGATCTTGCTCCTTAAAATTATACTTACTTTGGAGCTTGCAAAATTATGTTGAATGAAAGAACTTCAATTCTCAGGAAGATCTCAAAAATGTAGTATTGGGATGATTTGATTTTAAATCAAGAGAAATTTTCCATTAAGGTGTCAGAAAATTGCCTGAAAGACGGCTTGAGATTATATCCAATAAGGGACAACACATTGATTACTGAAAAATAAACTTTCTGCAAATAAAATTTTCAATTATTTTGGATAGAATTTGTTACAACCTAATAATTTCATTGATATAGATTAGAAGAATAACATATTTGCAATAACATATTTGGAAGAAAATGAAAATGTTGTATAAGATTAAAAGAATTTCAATAGAAATCATTTGAAAGTAAAATTTTTGAAATTTATTGAAATACTTTTATCTTAAAATTTTACTGCATCAATTAATATTATAACTGATATATATTTGTAAAATATAAATATTTCATTCCAAAATAAAAGTGATATTGTAAGTCATTGAATCCAAAACCAAGCATAATATCTAGGATCATAACATAGATATTATCATTCTTCTGTCAAAATACTTAAAATTTTTGCTAAAACACTGGCTTCTATCGTTAATGATTGCCATCAAAACATTATTAATAATTCCATTAATACATTACACATAGTTTGACATTATTATTATTTTAAGCACATTATTATGTTGCTGAAGTCAGATTTTGTAAAATTTTTGTTGCATTTAATTTTTCTAGCAAATTCAATTATAAAATTTTTTAAGACTCTTCTATGAAATGATAGTTTATAAATTAATTGTATAATCCAGGGATGTCCAGCCAATGGGCCACACTTAATATTTTTATGTGGCCCACTGCACCCTAAATTCTTTAGGTATATTTTCATTTATTTTGGTAAAATATGTCGTAAAAGTTATTCTTGTTTCACTGGATACACTTTGATGTCATAATGATGTAATTTGTGTTAAAGAACTGTTTTATCTAGAGAACTGTTATGTATGTGGGATAGTACATACTGTTGTGAACAATTCTTTTCATGCATAATGAAAAACATCAAAACTGCTGAAATAGGTTGAGTGATTTGCATTTAACTAATATTCTTTGAATTAAGACTAGTACTATAAAAGCAGATATTGACAATATTATAAAAGGGAGACAAAGTCAAAAATTGCATTCAGTTTATTTTTATTTTGTGCAAGTATAATTTCTTTTTTTACTGTCAATAATACAGCCTTTTTTGTAATTATATATATTTGTTATTAAAATTTGATATTCACATTTTGAACTTTTTAACAGTATATATTTATATAAAGTACCTTTTGTGGCCTGCTGAATATACCTAAATTTCTAATTTGGCCCATTAGGAAAAGGTTGGACAACCCTGCTTTAGGACATACATAATTAAAGGATATATGTTTTTCTTTAATATTAAACTATGAAAATTACTGTAATTTAGCAGCATTAATTTTTATTCAAATTTTTTTCTACTTCATAGACCATCTTCCAGAATTGCTCTATTTTAGAAGAAATTTCTGAAAAAATAACATTCTTATAATACTAGAAAATAACACAAATATTCCTATACAAAATATAATTACAAATCAATTATATTATCATAGTCTAATAGATACTAACACTACAAAATAATTTGTTTTGTTAGTGTTATCAAATATTAAATATTAATGTATTGTCTGAGGTATTATTTGTCAGAAATGGCTCTGTCTGAGCTTTTTTTTTTTTGTCTTGCATGCTTGTTTCAACTGCCCATACCACTTTTTTTCAATGTATTATCAATATAAAAAATTATTATATAAAATCCTCATTTATAATAAAAGTTTACTGATATGAAATAATTTTAAGTGTGCAAAATTTTTCTGTTTGATATTCTTGAAGAATAAGTTAGAGATGAATTAAAATAACATGCTCTCTGAGGTTTTTGTTGAGGTTGTATTTAACTTTACATGTTATATTTATGTATGCATATAGTTGTGCAAGTGTATATATACACAAAAGTCTTATACATATGCATAGAACTTGGCATCATCATATTTTCTAAATACTATCTTTTAATTTATTAGAGTATTTTATAGAATGTGTGTGTGCGTGTATCTAACTAATTCATAAAAATTTTTTAAAAATCCATTTTTGTCATTTTGTATTATTTTAGTAAATGAAAAAGACTTCTAAAAATTAATTGATTAGTTATTCAATACCTGTAGTTAGAATGTGTTAGACTAACATTAGAGTAACTCTCAAACAGGTAGCTGCTATTTTGAGAATGACATTTTATTCTATCTTAACCTTTGGCAGCTTTCCCTGTATAAAAAAATAAACACTTCATAATTTAAAATTATATAAATTTCTTTTTCTTTTAGTGTTTTAAAATTACAATATAAATAGTTTTTTGCAACAAGTTTACTTTAATGGTTATTATATTGATTTTATATAAATTATCGGATATCTTGAAATAATTTTTAAAGTTAATAAAAATAATTAATTAAACTTATTGTTTTTTATACAAATATAGCTTAGCAGTTTTGGGTTGGAAGAGACCATTAAAACAGTCAGATTTGTGGTTATTGAGGCCTGAAGATGAAACTTTGAGCATACTTCCAACATTCAATTATTATTGGAAAAAACAAATATGTGATTCAGAGTAAGTTATTAGGTTAGAGAAATTCAAATATTTAGCTGAAATTAACATTTAATTTGATATTTGTCTACTCTGGCCTAATAAAATATCAAATCAATCTTACTTAAATACGAATTATATTAATTATTATATTTATATTCAGTTTAATTATAATTTATACTCATAGATGGTGTTTAGTGATAATTACAATTTTAAAAAAATATATATTTACCATATTTCTTCACATATAAAAGCATCTTCTTATACTTGAGTATGCTCTTATAGATGGGGTAAAATTAGCTCTATATTCTGCACAGTATTTATTTAAAAACTAGAATTTTTATGTTTAGTCAAATGAACTATTTTCAACGTTTACAATCGTTCTATAATCGAACCAATATTCGAATTTTATGTTCGAATTTAATTTGAACAAAACATTTGAAATAGAAAGCCACTTTCAACCACTTTCAGCCTCATATCTCCCGCACCCTTATAGCTATCAAGATGCAACCACCCCTATGCATGAATGGAGACTTGGGGCTACCACCACATACAAACACCATTCACGTGTGATGTGTAGTTTTGGCGGAAAAGTGAAATATAGGGACATACATGTCCATTTATATATATATATATATATAGATAACACAATCACTTAAAAATTCTATAGTATCAAAAGCATTTATTTTATTTTAGCCTTTTACTTCTAATAATAGTTACTTCAGAGATATGACTGAATGGTTACAAAATCAGTACATTTACATTTAATATGCAGGACACAGTAGTACAGTAGTACTGTAAGCCAAAACAAATTGGCACATACGAGCATGCTCTTATAATCAAAGCAGGTTGTGTGTATCAAAAATGCAAAAATGATATTCATACAAAGCATGCTTTTGTGTGAAAATATGGTATATAATCAAAGAACTTATTGAAATATTTTAAAAATTATTAAAATAAACTTTTGAAGTTATAATTAAGTNTCTACGTAAACAGAGAGGTCAGGTCTCGTGCTGACGTCACTAACTTGGCATTCCTGGCTAACATTGTAAAATAGGGATCTGGCTACCCTTGTAGTATATAGTCCTTGAGTTCAGTCAGCTTCTTTTATCTACGCTAACTTCTACTAGTGACGTCATTGTTTTTGTCTCGTCGTACGATTTGCAAGATGGCTGCCCGTGTTGAACTAAACGTATACTGTATTATTACTAGCAGGTAGGCCCGGCGTTGCTCGGGCAAAAGTAACGATAGCGAAGATTAAGATTGTTACGTTATAGTCAATCTTATCCGTTTTCAAAGGATGCAAGAATTAGGTCCCCCTCTTTCTAGACTAATTAGAGAATTTTTAGATGGGTCTAAAAATATAATCGATTTTCCGCAAAAACGAAAAATCTGCATCTGCGTCTGTAAAACTTTCCCATCGCTTTCTCTTACGGGACATTCCAATTTTCAGCGCTGACTCAGCGCTGATCTCAACATTCGTTAAAATTCGTTCCTTTTTTCAACGTTGAGGTAGCGCTGTTGTCTGCGCTGACTCAACACACTCAGCACTCAACAGACATGTTGACTGCTACTTTCCAATGAATTGTGGGTAATTGGTAAGACATTTGAATGGAATCCATCTTGCTGAGAATGGAATTATGGGAACGTGCGATCATAGATTTTTCTTAAAACGTGCGTTTATAGATTTTTCTTAAAACGCGCGTTTTGCGGGCACTTTACGGGCGCTTCGAGATATATGTGCTGCCATTTTCTTGTACATTCGATCGCGCGCTTTTGGGACGCGTCGTCTTTTATAGCGACGATAGAGGAGCCACACACAAGCAATCACTTCCACGTCCATTTCCAAACCGAGCCAGTGTGCACGCTCCACTAAACGCTCGTCGAACGCCGAGCTAACGCGCGTTTAAAAACGCCTAGTGTGTACGCAGCCTTAATCCTGTTTCTCTCCCCCGTGGGGAGGAATTTCGAAAAATCCCTTTTTAGTGTGCGTTCTCGTGACGTACCCTAACTGTGTACCAAATTTCAACTTTCAACTCCTAACCGTTTGGGCTCTGCACTGATTATTATGATTATTACTAGCTGTTACTCGCGGCTTTGCCCGCGCGGGTTTTTCAAGCAAACCCCATTTACATTCAATATTTCAATAACCATAGTAATTGTTATATAACACCTACCTCTGAGAATGATGAGAATTGCCGAGAATCAAACGAACTACTTTCAATTTGTTCAATTTTCTGGAACGTTTACAATCGTTCTATAATCGAACCAATATGCAATAACAAATTCGAATTTAAAACGGTTGGAACATTTTAAAAATCGAAATAGATAAAAATATTTATAACAATGTCTGAAATGTTATTACTTTAATACACCTAAGCACTGGATGAAGACTAAATCCTCTCCCTCTCCCACCCGCGGAGGAATTTCGAAAAATCCTTACTTAGTGTTCGTTTCCATGACGTACCCTAACTGTCTACCAAATTTCACCTGTTTAGGTTAATCGGTATGCTCTGGGTGATGATGAAGCAGTGAGTGAGTGAGTCATTCAGTCAGTCAGTCAGGACAAGCAATTTTATATACAGTATAGCATCGATTATCCGACTCAATTGAGGACTGGGGTTGGTCCGATAATTGAAAAGTCAGATAACCGAAAAGTATGTAAAAATCCATTATTAGTGTAGTATATTATTATATCCCATGTAATTATTACTGTATATTAGTATATCGCTATTAACCTACTTCGCGTTGAATTTTCCTCCATGTTAAGCCTATCAAATTTGTTAAAAAAAATAATAATCGTCGCTATTGTATCGTTAAAAATTAGAAAATTAAGCTTCGTTTAAATACTGGCTCCCTTTTATGGTCGATCCAGTGTTGCCAGCTAAAATACGTAAAAATAATATTAAAGTAGCCAAGACATAGCCAAATATTGTAGCGCCACATCACTAGCGGACATTTGAATTTGTCGACTAGAACGCGGTCGGTTAACCGAGGTGATGGTTAATCGGGGGTCGGATAATTGATGCTCTACTGTATTTAGATTATTATTATTTTGATTAGTGGGTTATACTCGGTTGACACCGGTGGCTGTGTACTATGCCGGACCAGAGTCAAGGCATAGCAACTAAAATTAAATAAGTGTCAGTGTCTGTAGTCAGGAATTTCCTAACAATATGTCATTTATTCAATATAGTGGCCTTCTGTAGTGTGATGTATGCATTTCTACTCAATTGTAATGTTCCCAGGCCTTTGTGTAGTGTGTGTGGTATCAGACCAGTACAGGAGAGAACGATAGGTACAATAAGCACACTATCCATCCTCCACAGATGCCTTATTTCCTGGACGAGTTCTGTGTACTTGCTAATTTTTTCAGTGTATGTGTTTTGTGCATTGTGAGTGTTTGGAATGGTTATGTCTATAATGTATGTGATTTTATTGTGTTTGTCAATGAGTGTGATGTCTGGTCTGTTGTGGTAAATTGTTTTATCTGTGATTATGGCTCTGTCGTA